TTTAACTATAACTTACTTTAGCATAGTAAATCACAGTAAGAGTAGGTCTATTTGAATCAAAGGAATCTGCAGAGGGGTTGACTCACTAACTCCCCATTCATTCAACAGGCCTGTTCTAATGTGGTTTACTACACTAAGCAACAGGATTATTTCCCATAATTATAGAACAACAAGACAAACAATTTAGAGGGGAGGCAAAGAAAAGTTGAAAGCTGTTAATATTAAATGTCTTTATTTTTTAAAAAATCTCCCTTTTTTCCTAATTTGATAGTATCTCTAATATTATACTGTACAATGTGAAAAATAAACAAAAACAAAAGGGTAACTATTATATGCTTCCCTTTCAGACACAGTGTCATCCTAGACTTGAGATATAAATTGAGCAAATGGAACTAAGCCTAAGCACGGGGAGGGGGAAGAGATAGGCTTATGATAAAAATTAGAAATAAGAAAAGAAGGACATCTTTAGGGCAAAGTTTGGAATCAATTTGGGGAATTCAAAAAGTCTCCTCTCATTTCAACCAGACCTTGGTCCAAGATGGATGAATCCCATTCCTACTATGATATAGTGAGAACATGCTAAATATTACCTGCTGTTGTTGTTGTTTAGTCGTTTAGTTGTGTCCGACTCTTCGTGACCCCATGGACCAGAACACGCAGGCCCTCCTGTTTTCAACGGTCTACCGGAGTTGGGTCAAATTCATTCTGGTAGCTTCGATGACACTGTCCAGCCATCTCATCCTCTGTCATCCCCTTCTCTTGCCTTCAAACTCTCCTAACACCAGGGTCTTTTCCAGGGAGTCTTCTCTTCTCATGAGATGGCCAAAGTATTGGAGCCTCAGCTTCAGGATCTGTCCTTCCAGTGAGCACTCAGGGTTGATTTCCTTTCGAATGGATAGGTTTGTTCTCCTTGCAGTCCAAGGGACTCTCAAGAGCCTCCTTCTGCACCACAAGGCAAAGGCATCAATTCTTTGGCAGTCAGCTTTCTTTATAGTCCAGCTCTCACTTCCATACATCACCACAGGAAAAACCATAGCGTTGATTATACTGTACGGACTTTTGTTGGCAAGGGGATGTCTCTGCTTTTTAAGATATCATCTAGGTTTGTCATCGCTTTCCTCCCAAGAAGTGTCTTTTAATTTTGTGGCTGCTGTCACTATCTGCAGTGATCATGGAGCCCAAGAAAGTAAAATCTGTCACTGCCTCCATATCTTCCCCTTCCATTTGCCAGGAGGTGATGGGACCAGTGGCCATGATCTTGGTTTTTGTTTTTTTTTTATGTTGAGCGTCAGGCCATTTTTTGCACTCTCCTCTTTCACCCTCTTTAATTCCTCCTCACTTTCTGCCATCAGAGTGGTATCATCTACATATTGGAGGTTGTTATGTGTTATTTTGTGGAATTTTGCAATATTTTACAAAGACATTATTTTACTTTTGGGGGCTGTAACAGATGAAGCCTTGATATTACCTCTAAAGCATTGTTTGAGGAGGATGTTTGAGCAGTTGGGCTATTTTTCTATGTTTGAAGTATACTTTTGCTTTAAAAAATAACAGAAGAATAATAGAATAATAACATGTCAGCTCAATGCTTAAGGAGCAAATAACATAATTAGTTTATTTTTTAAAAAACCTAAAAATTTGCTATTAAAAATGATACCCCATGCTTTAATTATCAATGGCAGAAGTGTGCAGATTGGTGTTTTGGCGCTACTATGCTTAGAATTTTTTTTAAAAAACGCAACTGCACACTGGTACATATACAGTATAGGGCACATCATGAGAAGACAGGATTATCTGGAAAAAATAGAATGATGTTGAGAATGATTGAAGGCAGAAGGGAAAGAGGAAGACCAAATATGAGATGGACAGTATGCAAGAGCTAAGCAAGGCTACTGAGGACAGGGCAGTTTGGAGATTTCTCATTCATGGGGTTGTCAAGTCTGAGATAACTTGGCAGCAGATAACAACAGCAAATATGTCTCACTACTACTTCATTTACACATTCCCAAGCAACATTATTATCACTGAAAAAGAGTGTGGGCGTCCAGCAGAAGGGTCTTACTCAGAGCAAGCTGTGTACAAGTATCCTTTAACTATTCCTGATACAGTAATAACAAAGCAGATGCACCCCATCCATTTTCATGAAAAACTGAAGAAATAAGTAGTAGTAGTAGTAGTAGTAGTAGTAGTAGTAGTAGTAGTAGTAGTAGTAGTAGTAGTAGTAGTAGTAGTAGTAGTAGTAGTAGGCATCCTTCAGTCTCAAGAGGTTATGGCAACGTGTTCTGAATAGAGGACTTGGAACAGCATCTAGTGTGGCTGAGAAGGCCGATTCGAGAATGACAGTCCCTTCCACATTGAAGACAAATGCAATCTGTTCCCTATCCAGCTCCCTGATTTAGCTGGGTTTGGGACTGCCTCTTTGCCTCAGCTTGCTGGACAAGGGTCCCTTCAAAATGGGAGAGGCCATGATGCACCACCTGCCTCCAAGCTGAACGCTCAGATGTCAAGGTCTCCCATCTGTTGAGGTCCATTCCTAAGGCCTTCAGATCCTGTTTGTAGATATCCTTGTATCGCAGCTGTGGTCTCCCTCTGGGGTGATTTCCCTGCACTAATTCTTCATACTGAAGATCTTTTGGAATCCGACCATCAGCCATTCTCACAACATGCCCAAGCCAATGTAGACGTCGCTGTTTCAGTAATGTATAAATGCTAAAAATTCCAGCTCGATCAAGGACTACTCTATTTGGAACTTTGTCCTGCCAGGTGATGCCAAAAATGCATCGGAGACAACACATATGGAACGTGTTCAGCTTCTCTTGCCATACACAAAGGGTCCAGGACTCACTGCAGTACAGGAGTATACTCAGGACACAGGCTCTATAGACCTGAACCTTGGTATCTTCATTCCTCTTTCTCAAAGCTCCTTTTCTAGTTGTCTGCCTGATTTGTATTCATAGCCAGACACAACAGTGTGGCATTAATATATGCCAATTATATTGTAAGACCTTCGATGACAGAACTATTAACATTTAGGCCACTCGGAGCCAAAAGCAGGCTATAATTCAAATGAATGAATAAATTACAGACAGGTGACAAATGCTCTTTGAACACCACGACTTCTCTCGGGAGACTAGCACAGTAACTCACTTGTTGCCATACTCTGTAAGACCTCGAAATCCTATGAACCGCCCTTGCACCTGTGGTCTCTCCTCTCCCTTTCTACCACCACTGCTCTTTGGCTACATCCTGTTGGCATGGGAAATGGAGAAATCCTGGGGATTGTTTTTTCTAAAGAAAGGATATTACATCTCTGCTATAAGTCCCAAAGTTGCTTGTGCCAGCACACTTACTGTGAGGGGCAGTGATCTTAAAAGAGATAAGAAATGTTATTTCTTGGGGGTGGGGAAACTCTTTGAATACCCCAGCCAGCCCTGTCATTGGGTGAAGTATTAAGAAATGTTATTTCTTGGGGGTGGGGAAATAAAACTCTTTGAATACCCCAGCCAGCCAGCCCTGTCATTGGGTGAAGTATTCTAGGAGCTGTCTTTCAAAAACTAACTTTCCCCATCTCTGCTCATCAATTTCTTGTTCAAAATATGACTTGTTCTATTCCCAAACAGCTTCTGGCTGTGTCTAGGAAATTAGTCCCTATTTTGAGAGACTTGTGAGAGTAAAAGAAGTTTGAATATCTTCAACCAGCATCTAAAATGTAGCCTCCTTTTTTAGCCTCATGGAACCGATGACAGCCTGGGCCAGTATTGCATACAGAGCCTTATCCCATGCCTGGGATCCAGAAATTACTCCCTTTAAGAGGCACTGCAAGCTCCCTCAGCAGAAAACCATGTGTGTACTAAAGGAAAGGTTATGCTCTTTGTAGCAAGCCCTCACTGAATGCTTCTCTGTGGTAGATCATTGGTTAAGAGTATACTCCAATGCACAGGCCTGAGATGTTTTCTCAAGGTCACTGCTTTCCCTTTCATTTCAAACTATTTCAGCAAAAATGGTATGCAAGAGGTAGTCAGGTTTATAGAAGCCCACACCTAGCAATGTGAGGCCCAAAATAAAGGGTGGGTAACTGCAGAGGGTCTAAGGAGACATTTCCCATTCAGAACCTTTAAGGGCTGCACTAGTCCCATCTACTAAAACCAGCAGTCTCTAGTCTAGAGGGTTTCTAGAAATGGATTTAGGTACCAAAACAAGTCACAAGGGACCTTATTGTAGGAGATAATTGTATCTGGAAACCTTGTTTGTAATGGTGGGGTAAACCCTCAATTCTCCAGATGCAGTCACTGTTCTTCTAGCTCTGGCACACTCTTGTGCTATTGGTGGCGGCACGCCTCTGTATTACTCAGAGAGAAAGCTCGTCCTCTTTATGGTCCTGCCCCTCCTCCCACTGAATGGCCTGAGTGTATTCACTAGGCAACAATGACATTGCTTTTGTACATGCTTTACCACATTCATAGTCCTTATCTTTTTGCTTTAATTCTATTTCTTAAAGGCATGGAGATGTGTAAGCAAGAAGCCCGAACAATTCTATAAAGAATTTAACCAAGTTAGTTTCTCAATTGGTACCTAAATCCATAAATAACATAAGTTTATTCAATTTGTTCTGGCTTATTCCTTTGATTTTCAGAAACAGATTTGGTTAGTATATATATACTGTATTCTTCTGTGCTAGAGACTAGAAGCGGAGCTTTTGCTCATGATGTCTAATACAGATCACTTGTGGTTTTAGAGCCTGTCAATTTTTACTTAATTTACTCTTCTGAACTTCATTTCTCTGTCACTGAAGTCCTCACACACCCTTGTCTAAGATCAAATCCAATAGACCTCAGTGGGGCTTATTGCTAAGTACTCATGTCTGGGAGTGCACTGTGAATGAAGCATCAGAAGGGATGCAAGTTTCAGCAGGTCACTGGAAACAAAACAAAAAGTGTTTAATATTTTTAATAAATTGAAAAGAGTGAGAAGAGTAATGCAGAAGGATTAGAAATGAAACAGTATTTTGTAATTTGAACTTTATTTAAAAAAATAACACTTTCTCTTACATGTCTAGAACATCCGTGGGGGTGTTAAATCTCCAAGATTCTAGAAAATATTAACGTTTTGCATTAAAACATTAGTTGTAGTTACGACACTGACTTTCTCCTCTTGACAGTAATAATACAGTACTTTAATCATCCCATTCATCTCCATTCTCCACATCAGATTCTTCATTATCTGCCAGAAAAGAAAAAGCATTTTGTGGAAACATGAAGCAATATTTTACCAACTTGTAAATATTGCAATTTTAAAGAATAATTAAGATAGCAATCCTATCCATGCATGCCTTACTCCCATTAGACTCCCATTACTCCCATTGAGTCTAATGGGTCTTAATCCTATACAAGTGTACAGGATTAAGCTAGAAATTAGACAACACAAACTGTACATGTCCAGATGAGCTGAAAAGAAATAAAGGTTGCATGTGGATGGCAACATGAAAACTAAGGGACCAAATAGATGAGTGTCCTTTCTATATTTGTTCAGTTACACAACATTAGCACTAATCACAAGTAAATCTAATCCTTTGACATGAGTATGCTGTATATTTTATTTGGCTGGCCGGCCTGGCTAGCCAGCCAGCCAGCCCCTTTCCTCCAGCTCACTATAAGCTGTAAGAGGGTCAAGCAGGCTATTTCACTCAACACTACCTGTTTACCATTCTTCTCCCTCCACCTCACATTCAATATTTCATTAATATTGAGAATCCTCATTAATCTGTAGTGTAGATGAGAGGAGTTGCCCTTCAAATTTAATTGTTTTTTTTTAAGAGAAACTTGTGCAAATGTCAGAGCTCTCATGAGAAAGTCATTTCTCAGTTTTGTCTCAATGTCTGTCTGTAGTTATGGACTATGTTCACTCCTACAGAGGGTAAAGCATAACAATCTCCATAGGACTTTCTAAATATAAAGGATCTTCTTGAACATGCAGTTGGCTCAGGGCTGCACAGATGGCAGACCATGTCACCCATCAGCCACACACACTCCAAGTAACCTCTCTTGGCCCCTATCTCAAACAGGCATAGTGGGGATTTGAACTCCCAGTTGCTGCCTTTGCAGAAAAGTACTCCAATTCACCAGCCTATACAAGCTCAAAGAAGTATATACAACCAATTATATCTCAAAAAGTGGGATATGTCTAGAGTGGGGTGACTAATATGTTGATCAGGAGGAAGAAGTTTTTTTCTTTTCCAGAGTCCCTTACATAATATACCTCAGAAGAACTCGGGAAGGCGATATTGTCTCATATGAGCACATCAGGGGAAAAACGGGCATATCATTTATTTGTAACTGATCCCAAAGCTCTTCCTGTATTTTTTAATTTGTGAGCTGTCTATATCAAACATACAAAACATACCATAAAAGTTCTAAAGCATCCAAATGCAGGTGCTTTGAATTATCACTGTGCCTCAGGGTTAGCCCCAAAACTATTTTTCTGTCCCCAGACAGACTGTGAGGAGAAAAGCCAGCTTGATGCCATCCCAGCTGGGTGTACCAATCGAGAGGAGGAAAAAGTCTGTAGTGGTGCTGAAGGAGAAAGCTTTAGCTGTAATGGAATCAGTCAGTCCCAAAGGGGAGAAAGATAAAGGGAGTTGTGGAAAAGAGAGAGAGGACAGAGCCTTTGAAGAAGGCAGGAAGACCCTGAAAAGGAGACAGGTCACTGGAGAAGACAGGGACCACACTGGGGAAGGTGCGAAAGCAGTTAAAACAGGTGGGAATCAAGGAGAAGGAAGAAGAAAGGGGATGGAGAAATAGGGAGGAGCAATCAAGGAGGGGTGAAAGGACGTGGTGGCGCTATGGGCTAAAGCACAGAAGCCTGTGCTGCAGGTTCAGAAGACCAAGCAGTCGTAAGATCGAATCCACAGCGGTTCGAAAGCATGCGAATGCAAGTAGATAAATAGGGACCACTTCGGTGGGAAGGTAACAGCGTTCCGTGTCTAAGTCGCACTGGCCATGTGACCACGGAAGATTGTCTTCGGACAAAAACGCTGGCTCTATGGCTTGGAAACGGGGATGAGCACCGCCCCCTAGAGTCGAACACGACTGGACAACAATTGTCAAGGGGAACCTTTACCTTTACCTAATCAAGGAGGGAGATAATAGAGGTTGATGAGGTGGCTTCAACTTCCACCTGAATGGGAATGGATTTGGATGGAGAAACCATGGACTAAGCAATGGGAAAAGATTATGATTCCTCAGGAGGAAGCAGAGATGAGGGAGGAGAAGGGAGATAAAGCCCCAGAAACCACTGTATTGGGGTGAAAAGGAAGCACATGAGTGGGGAGGAAAAATGAGAAGAAAGTGCTAAAGGACTTTCTTGAAATAAATGTTAATGGTTTGGAACCTGTGGAACAGTTGTCATTGATCTAAGAGTTGGACGGGGAGTCAGGCCAGTCACAAAGCACACTCTTGAACAGACAAGATGTTTCCTCTTCTCCCTTTCATTCCACTTGGTGAATCTGACCAGAGTAGCAACAAGTGTCTTTCATCAACACTGGCAATGGGATACAGTAGTGTCCTTGCCTATGAGTTGCAGGCTAGATTGAACTTGGCTTCTTCAGTGTTTGCCTATTCTTCACAAGTTGTATGTATACCTTCCGTGCTTCTTGGCTGAGAATCTGAAACAGCCATAGAACTTCTCCCCCAAAACATTAGCCTTGGAGTCAAACTGTGGAAGGAAGTGAACTTATCCACAAAATATTGATTTTAGAAAAGGTAGCTGTGTTAGTCTGTGCTAGCATATTACACAAAAAGAAAACAAAAATAAAAAATTAGCCACAACATTTTTGTCTTCTTTATTTTAATTTTTGTTTTGTGCTGTGACAATCAGATTTTTTTTGCACTTAAAGATTTCCTTGTCCTAAGCATATGCTATATGTAATGGACAGTTTGACCCTTCAAGACTGAATAGAAGTTATTTAATGTTTCTGACCCTCAAAGCAGTATCTTTAGACTCAACTTCTCCAACATTTCACTTCCATTTTTATCAGTACTGTATCTGCATGGTAGCTTTACATAATATCTGCATGGCAGCTAACTGGCCAGTGAATGGAGAGCCAAACTTTCAAAATGAAAAAAGAAAGACAAGAAAAGAAAGAAAAAGGGAAAGAGAAAGAAGAAAAACATAAGCTGCTTAGAAACATGCTTTGACCCAGGCTTCACAGAACAGGTTACTCTCCATTGATGACCACCCATTCACTTATTAAACAAGAGGATAATTCAGATAAATTAGAAAGCAAAGAGAAGTTTTCAGTCATCTACCTGAGACATGCATTGCCTTGTGTCTCTTCTGAATTACATCCTTAAGTGCAGCTACTATTCCTCCATTACTGGGAGATGCTGGTTTGTGAGACACCTGTTTTTAGAAAAAGAGAAATAAAGAATAATACAGTTTTTAGAAGTCCAGTTTATTATGGAACTAGCTGTAAGTAAAATGAGCCAGACATGTGCTTCTGTGTTTCAACTCAAAACCTTGTGCTTTCCCTCTGGAACTTTAACTTCAAAGTCCTCCACAGCAACTCTCTGCCACTACGTCCTAACACCGTCCAACCTGTGATCTTCACTTGTGCATCTCAACCACTCTCAGCTGGCTAGAGGAGTCTCTGCCCCCTTCAAAGCCTTCTGTTCTTGCTCTCTGGTGGCAAGACACATGCTTTGCATGCAGATAGTCCTACGTTCAGTCCCTGTAATTTCCAGACAGAGTTGGGAAAGATTCCTTCCAGAAACCACAAAGCTACTGCCTGTTGCCAACAGTAATTCTGATGAGAAAGACCAAAGGTCCCTGCTATTGCTGGCCTGGATATTCAGAACAGCTTCCTGGAAGAATATTTCCTCTGTCTAATCAACCCTTAAACTCTGCAAGTGTTTTAAATTGCACCATCCATCATCTCTTACAATTGACCAGGTTGGCTACGGCTGATGGGAACTGAAGGCCCAAACATCTGATGGCCCAAATGTTCCCCATTTCTACTCTAAGCCATTGAGAAAACACTCATGGATACATCCAGAAATACTAAACAGGATTTTTCATGGAGCAGGCATTTGCAGTTGCTGTCACTGAGACCTTCAAACTAACACATTACACATACTACTGCCCTTACTGTTGTTATGAGACATCAAGTCACTCTTGACTTATGATGATCCCGTAAATCAGTGGCCTCCAAACAATTCTGTCATCAACGACCCTCCTCCGTTCTTGCAAACGCAAGGCTATGGCTTTCTTTATTCAGTCAATCCATCTCATGTTGGGTCTTCCTAACATGAGATGGATTCTAATGCTTTTGCCACTTTTCCCAACATTCCTGTCATTTTTAGTGAGTTTTTTCTTCCTGTAATACATCTAAAGTATGATAGCTGCAGTTTAGATTTGCACTTGCAGAGAGAGCTCATGTTTGATTTGATCAAGCCATCATGGATTTGTCTTTTTGGCACTTGTCGGTATCTGTCTCTCTCCAACATTTCATTTTGAGTGAATAAAGATTTTGCCTGTCAGCTTTCTTTACTATCCTGCTTTCATATCTATACATAGTAAATGTGAATACCATACAATGGAAAATATTGGCCTTGGCCTTGGCCTCCAGGGATACTTCCTTACTCTGTGAAGCTTTTCTAATTCCTTCACAGTTGCTCTTTTCAAGTTCAACTTGTTCAGCTTCCTTGCACCCACAATACTGGAACTGCATCCCAGGATCCACATAACCAAGACTGAAACTAGTGTTGACAGAGTCAAAAAAGCCACACAAATTTCTCTTGCAAATTCCAGACATAATTCAAATAATTTGTAAGACAATCAGACTTCAGGCTTTTATTTATTGGGCCTGCCACCTAGACTGTTTGTTAAAGACCAGTAAGAAATGTCCTGCTTTTCACCAGTTTTCCTGCCCACATATATGTGAAATGGAAAGAAACTATCAACAGCAATTTAGAAACAAAGCTGTAGCTGTCATGCATTTTATGGAGGAAGAGGGAGTCGCTCAATCAGCTTTCTCCTTGGCTTCAAGAAAGTAGTTGAGGCAATTAGCCTGTCACTGGGATTTAGGTCTGAATTTTATTTTATTTTAAATTTGGGAGATTAGAATAAGCCATGAGGGACTGAAGTCCTTTTGCTTGTGTAACCCTAGCCTATACAGGTAGAGAATCTGTGTTATATACAGTAGCTGGCCAGCATACATATTCTCTCTCTCTCTCTCATTCTCTCTCTCTCACACACACACATACACAGACAGGCATGGGGGAGGAGGGGAGAACTAATAAGAACTTCCTGTACTGAGGCCCTTAGGAGGTAGCTGTCACTCTTATAAGTTTCACAATATGATAGTCTATCTTTTTCAGCCTGCATGAAATGATATAAGAGGTAGTCACTGCTAGATACAAATCTGGACCATGTGAGGTATTTTTCTTTATAAGGGCCAAGCATTTCATGACATGCAGTTATCAGTTTTCCTGAATGAATTGGACAGAGATGACCGAACCTCACAGATAAAAGGAACTGTAACACTGCACCATTCTAGAAATACTGCAACTCCCATTAGGAGCATACAGGGATGGATTGAGACCTTTAGAGGCCCTAAGCACTGAAATGATTATGGTGCTCACTATGACTATAATGTACAGTGGGTCCCTAAGCTTAAAAAAAAAAAGAAATATAACATATACATTATATGCATGAAAATATGATAATTTTAATTGTAGAGCATGTGGCAAAAAAGAACCACATATTGTATACAAAATCATACATGCAGTCAAATTACGGGTTTCCAGCCACTTCTTGAGCTTTCACACTTTGATTAATGTAGACAGATTTTGTCTGAATCTGCAAGTTAGGAAAATTCAAAAAAGACCTTGACACCAGCTGTTATTTCTTTGGCTTGCACATATAGTGCAGAGGCCATGAGTCTAAAAGACCAGCAGCTCTTTTTATACTTATCCCCACCCAACCTCCTAAAATACAGTAGTAAAATTAACAAGAAAAAACCACAAAGTGATGATGATTAGTCATTTCCCTCAAAATACAAATTTCTCATTAGTCTTTATACTTGTTAGTTTTTACTACTTCATACTCAATTACTTCAAGTAGGGAGGTGGTTTTCTTGGGGCTCTTGAGGAGGGAGGTGGTTTGTAAAGGAGGATGCACCATGATCCATGGAAAATCTGGCACTGAAAAGAACTGTGTGGTGCTCCCTTCCCTTGTTGATGCCCTGAGTGTGTGCTTATTTTGCTTAATGGTTAATCCAGGGCTGGGAGCATGAATGTCTACATACAGTACCTTTAATACGTTATCATGGGTAGTAGAACAATGAAGGCATTTTCTTTCCATCAGTCATCAAATTAAGACAAGAACATTTGCTAATTATAGCCTACCATTCATGTCTTATGTTATTAGGTAAAGATAAAGGTTCCCCTTGACATTTTCAGTCCCCTCATGTCCGACTCTAGGGGGCGGTCCTCATTCGATTTTCAAGCCATCGAGCCAGCGCTTGTCCGAAGACAGTTTCCATTGTCACGTGGCCAGCGTGACTAGGGAACACCGTTTTACCTTCCCACCGAGGTGGTACCTATCTATCTACTTGCATTTACATGCTTTCGAACTCCTAGGTTGACGAGGAGCTGGGACAAAGCAACAGCTCGCTCCTTCACGTGGATTCGATCTTAAGACTGCTGGTCTTCTGACCCTGCAGCACAGGATTCTGTGGTTTAGCCCACAGCGCCACCACATCTCCTTTATGTTATTAGAGAGAAGAGAAAATGCGTATAGATTATGGGGGAGAATGCCACCCTCCATATGGGCAGAGTTGCTCACACACTGAATTACTCCAAGAGATGCAACCAGGTTTTATATAACAGATCTGTTAACGAAATGCCTGCTTTGATCCTAAACCTACAACTCAGTTTTCGACTGAGGTGCATTTTCCAGTGAACCTCATTCAACACACACATACAATCTGTGTTTTAAGCAATATTGTTTGAAAGCCTAACCAAGAATATAATTTAACATCATGTCTTAAGATTCTGCCAGCTAACAATATTCTTTCCAACAAAGAGAGTATTGAAAGAAAAATACTTGCTTGTTTCAGCTGAGTTCTTCCTCTGATCTGGTACATCAGAGCATCTTGCTTAAAAGGAGTTAGTGAATTGTCACTGCTGGCCCTTTTCAGCTGCGCTTCCTTCAGATTTTGGATTAAACTATGTTGAGATGATCTTTTGAGGAGAGAAGTAGAAGGTACTGGAGATATAACAACTGAAGGAATATCAGCACTGCATGCTTTTGGTGTGGGAAAAGGCTCTGCCGGGACATTATTTAGGCCATGCACTGAGCTTGGCCCTTGGTAATCTGGTTCATTTTGTGGGTTGTAAATGAAACCCAGCTCTGTGGGAGGCACAGAACAAAGCAAAGGATGATCAAGTGATTTGGTCAGTAAACCTGTGGAAGAATAGATAGGTGAAATAAATAAATAAAGAATGATTAAGCCTTTCAATTCTATTTATAATTTTGAAAACCCTATTGCTTCAAACTCTAGCATCCCAGATTCTCAGCTAAAGCACGACTATCAGTTACCTGTGTTTATTGAGGTCAGTGTATGGATCAACGGCTACCAAATACACACATCTGTCCATATGATGCAGAAACTCTCCTTACATTTATAATGATCACATGTAAGTTCAACCTTTCTTTCTCACCTCCTGAATACAATTAGGTATTTTCTCAGTAACTGGCTGTGCAGTCAGGACTGGATTTAAAAGATACAGAAATTCTCATTTGAATCATTTATGCTGCCCAACCCTTGGCCTAGACCTCCATGCTGTTCTCTAGGGCTGGTTCAAGATGTGTTGCTTCCTGGAGCAAAGCGACACCTGCTCCCCACCCCGTGTTCATTTGGGAAGCTGATGTCCAAAAAAAAGTACAAGGATTCTACCTTTTCAAGAGTTGATTTGAACACTGGTTCTTAACCTTTGTTACTCAGATGTTTTTGGACTGCAACTCCCAGAAGCCTTCACCATCAGTTCTTCTGGCTGGGGTTTCTGGGAGTTGCAGTTCAAAAACACCTGAGTAACAAAGGTTAAGAACCACTGGATTAGAAGAGGGATTTTTTTGACGTGTAATGCAAGATATACCTGTTCTTCTGAAGTAACAGGAGTTACAATTTTAAAAAGTAACTTTCCCAAGCTCTGGAAATGACAACTCTTTGTTCTCCTTAAAACACAGGTGTTGCATTGCATCCAGACCAGTGCTAGAAGTTCATCAGTCATTAACAGCTTCTTCTTCCTGAATGTCTTTCCCCACTTATTTTTACCTTGAGTGATCAGCTGTAACAATAGTACTTTTTGTTTCTTATTATGTAACCAAAGTAGTCTGGCTTTCAGCAATTTATGAGTTTTATACAATGGTGCAGTGGTAAGGTGGCACATGCAGTCCCTACAACCTTCCAAGAGAATCAAAAAATGCAGGCAACAGGATTGGTCCATTATCAAAAGACCTGCTCCTCATTTATCAACAAATGAGAAGCAGATCTTTTATAAAGCTAATGGCTCTTAGTTTCCCATTCAAGACAGAACCATTTTGAAATATATTCGTGAAGGCTTTCACGGCCAGGATCTAATGGTTGTTCTGGGTTTTTCGGGCTCTTTGGCCGTGTTCTGAATGTTGTTCTTCCTAGCATTTCACCAGTCTCTGTGGCTGGCATCTTCAGAGGACAGCAACCTGTGCTCTGGTGTAGTTGGCTTGGGAGTGAAGAACAACCTTCAGAACATGGCCAAAGAACCCAAAAAACCCAGAACAAACATTTTGAAATACTTTGCACAACAGCAGTCATCTCCCCAACTATTTGGAGCTTTGCATTTAAATTCAAAGAGAACAGGACCCCTATCCATTCCCTCCTTTTCCCCTTGAACCCACACCTCAACGCCTACCCTTATTGAAAAGGAATTTTTAAAAAAAGAAAGTACAAAAAATCAAAGAGAACAGGGAAGTATGAGTGAGATGGTGGGTAATGTCATAATTTCTATTAATTCTTGGCCTTCAACCCTGCAAACCAATGATGTTATGATTTCCTTTTCAGGAAAATAAAATCTGGAAGTAAGTTATGACAAATAAAAGACAATTCCACAGCAAAGATCGTGAAAAGTTAAAGAGGCTTCTACACCTATAAGAGGTTTGTAAGAAACCCACCATAGATGGTCACGATAAGTCAGGAAGGTAAGCAGCATGGTAGCTAATCTCAAGACTGGGGGTGGGAGGGAGGACACCGATGCCCACCTGTTGTGGTTCTTTTTGTTATTCTTTCGGGGAAAATAATGATGTGTATTGCACAAGCCAGCACACATAGTCCTCAAACCAAAGAGCAACAGAAGAACAGGACCATGTCCAACAGAGAGTTTGTCTGCTGCTCATCTGCTAGAAGCATAGCTTTTCTCCCATCCCTCACACAGGCTCCAAACCTTGAAGGGGAGCCTTTGAAGGGGCAGTTGAAGACCAAAACATCTGGAGAGCAAAAGACTCCCCACCCCCTGCCTTAATTAAAGCTGTACAAAAATTAGCCCCTACTCATGTCACAAGCACAGCTCTTGTATAGCCACATTCCTCACCGTGTTTACTTCTGGCAAGGCAGCTGTGGAAGATGCCAAAACATACGAGTCTTTTAATCCATGTTTTCATCACACAAATAGGGCAATAACTGTTTTCCCAGGTATACAGAGGTATCAGAGTACAGTACCTTTTGTCTTAGCTTCTTTCAGCACAGTTTCTACACCCCCTCGTTTCTCGATAGTTCTAAAAATCTTTTTTGAAGTTCTCTTGTCTTTCAGATGATCCTCGGTTATACCAGCCTCAGCAAATATCACCTTTAGTTCAGGATCCAGGTTGGTCTGAAAGAAATGGTCCGTCAGCAAAACGACTATGTTTCTTAACCCTACCGTATAAATTCCACACAATTTCTCCTTAAAGAGACTCAGTCGCCCCCCCACCACTAATTCTACAAACCAACTATCTATTTTCCCAGTTGTTGGGCCTCTCTTGTTGTACTTATGTGCAGTCCAGTCGGAAGCAATTTATAGAGACTGTAATGAGTCTTTCAAGGTAAGTGAGGTTGCTACCACATGGTCAAACACCATGGGATTTGTTCTTCTTTTAAAATGGGCAAATTCAAAGTATTTTTACTGATCACATGATACAAAGGCTGATTCAAAAGCAGCTTTTTTTTTCTCTGCCTCTGGGGGGGTGGAACTTTCTAGTTTTTAAGCTGGAGCAATCTGTAGTTAGTTATAATATATTCTTGTAAAGATGTGTGTCTGTGTGTGTAGGTGGTGTTTGGGTGATATAAGCAGTTGGAGTGTGATGTTCAGGACCAGGGGGACATGCCCCCCACATTCTTTCCTCTCCCTGATCATCTTCCAATTATTTTTGTATTTTATTTTTTTCTACACATTTTATTTATTTATTTATTAGATTTTTTTTACCCCATATATATGGGACTAGCAACGGATTTCCCTATCACCTTATTACTATTATTATTTCCCATATTTATGGCCCCGTCAGTTCCCCATCAAATCAGCAGAAGCAGGAACAGAGGAAGGAAAGGCGTGGGGCTCTGGACTGGAACACAAATCATACCACGTCCAGTGTGTACCGTGAACTCCTGAATCAATCTGCAGCCCTTGAGTCAGCATTAACTGTGATTTTAAACATAGAGTTTGCAAATCTATCCTACAATTTCCAATGTAGTCACACCCTGAGATATTTAAGGGAGAACTGGTTTTACCAGTTCTGCTCTTCCAGTAAGTTTCCATGGCTCAGCAAGAATTCAAACCTATGCCTCCTGAATCCTAGTCTCTCACTCTATCCATTACACCACACTGGACATCTCTCTTATCAAACTATAATTCCCAGAACTCCTTTAAGAAAACTGTAAAGGTGGCAGAAAAGTGAAATCTAGCAGAAAAAGCTTGCTAGACTGTGTTCAAAGAGAGAAGCAAGAGCAGCAATCCTCAGGAAAACAAGTGGAGTGTTTATTTACTCAGGGCTCAGCCAAACATCCTACTTCCTCCTATTAAAGAGGTGGCTTCATTGCCCATTGATTTAGATTACTTCAATCAACCTTGTACATAGTGTTAGTGGGCACTCAAATCTATCCCTTCCATTTCCCTTCTACATTAGGGCTACTCAGGGTTATTTTCTCTCACTTTGGGCCAGTTTTTTTTCTCCAGCCAATTTCTTTCCAGATGTTTCAGCTCTGCCTACTTCTTTGTTCAAAAAAAAATCCTGGTTCCTATGGACATGTGCAGAATTGGAATTCCTCTGATACCAGCTGTGGGAGTGCTTTACCTCTACCTCCCCCTTGCTTTCCCTGCAAAATTTATTCATTTACTGTTCCTCTCCATGCAATCTGGCCAGCTGCCTGCCTGCTCCCCATCTACAGCTGATTGGTGGGCTTCTGGCACTCACCCCTCCGGCTGTCTCTTGCAAGGGAAAGTAGGAAAGTGGCAGGAGGAAAGAAGAGGACATGTTATGGTTTGGAAGTTGAACGTGGAAGAATCTGTATTACAATGAAGGAACTCTGGCTACAGGTATGGAAGCTTGGAGTGAGTAAATCTGGATCTCCGGCAGAAAGGGACCATGGTTCTAACCCACATCAGTTCAAAGACTAGATAGCTCAGTGAGTTAGGTCTCTGGCTGCAGAGCCCCAGCTGTGCCTCCTTGACGTGGACTGAACTCAATGATTCATAGGATCCCTTCCAGCTCTGCAGTTCTAAGATTATTATTATGTTGTTATTAAGCCACACACCTCATCTGGATAGGCTCTTACATGTACAGACCTTTAATCAGAAGTAAATTCTACTTTGTTCACTGGGGCTTGCTCTCAGGAAAGCAGGTCTTAGGACAGAACTTTAAATGCTTTAGAGCAGGGATCCCCAACCTGGCCCTCCAGATGTTCTTGGACTTCAACTCCCAGGAATTTTGGCCAGCAGAGGTGATGATGAAGGCTTCTGGGAGTTGTAATCCAAGAACATCTGGAGGCCCAAGGTTGGGGAATCACTGCTTTAGAGCGCAGATCTCAGACTCCTCCAGTGAGTATCAAAATGAAGCAAAAAGTCAAGATTGCTCCTTTAGTGTCAAGAGCACTGAATGCAAATGATGAAAGAGGAATTTACAGTGACTACTTACAGCAAAACCAGTTTGGGGGCTCCATTCCACATGACACAGGTGTCTGAAAGACATATTGGGATTATTGGTGCATGTCACTGAAACGGTGTGAATTCAGTCATACCAATTACAATAGTACCAGCTGCCATTTATTTTGTAAACATACTTTTTTGTTCCAACACAAGCGGAGTCATGTTCTAAGAACATGTCCCTCTACAAAAGATAACAAGAAACAGGAAAGGCCATAGCAGATTTCAAGGTGGCAAGTTTCAGCAAAGGCTGTTGCCCAGTCATTCTGACATCCCTTGAAGCATTTAGTCAGGATGACTTTAAGCAGAGCTTATCTATCATTCTGAACAGCGCCACTGACGTCTGTGAGAAAGGAAGAGTCCTGGCAAGGTCTACAGAGGAACAGCCTGATCCTCAGTCCAACGAGCATGAGGCCAACTACACAGAACCAGCAAAAGTGCTACAGGTTAGGTGTTATGGTACAGTTGCCAATCAATCATAACTCTTTCTGTGCCTTTACCAACAGTTCAAACATTAAGTCTGTATTTTACAGGATGGAACTAAGTCCTGTCAACTGTTCATACCTGGAGATTAAACAAGATATTAGCAGTCCTACAGCTTTTCAGATATTTTAAATGTGTGCAAGATCAAAATATGAACATCTATGGTCATAGAAACCAACTGCCACGCAAAGGACTTCTGTTACAGTGGAAGCTAAAATTGGCAATTAAAAACATATAGCAGCAGGGGAAATGGAAGGCCAAATAGGAGACAGATTGACTCTCTAAAGCAAGCCACAAACTTGAGTTTGCAAAGCTAAGCAGGGCTCCACATTGTGGAGATGTCTCATTCAGAGGGCCACCATAAGTCAGAGGTGACTTGATGGCACATAAACAACACGTCAGCAAAAGGATGCTGCTGAAACAAAAAGAGGCATTCTTTTTCTGGGATGTAAAGTACCTCTTTGAGTTACACTGTTTACACTGTCCAAATCCGAAGTAAATAGCAATTGTCGTTTGCCTAAATCGTGGGCTGCAACACCAAATGAAAACTTACCATAACATGTGTGAAGGTACAACCCTTTGGAACAATACTCACAACTTCCATTTCATCCATTGCAACTCAAAGGTAACACTTTTTTAAATTCACTGTTCACACTGTCAGCTCAGTTAATGACATGTGAATGCAACTGAAGCCACAAGTGTCCACTCTTATAACATACAAAAAAGGAAGCCAGAAGACGCCAAAAAGATTTGCATGACATTCACATAGGTTAACCTATACATCCAGCAACAGCCGTGGTCCAAGCGTGGGAGCTTTTTAGATAAGAATAAAATCTGCATTACCAACATTTTTATACATTTTGAGACTCAGTCTTCCATTTGTACTTTTGCCACTAGTGGATGTACCAGTTCCCTCTGCCTTGTCAAAGCATGGGAGCGCCTTATTCCCAAGTGCCTTCTCACACACACTTACACTATGGTTGACCAGTAAGAGATATTTGGAAATCATTCCTTTCATTAAGATCTAGCAACAATACATCTCATATCCTATAGTAATAGGAGGGAAGACTATGAAGTCTGCTGAGCATTTCAATCAGCTGAGTCTTGTTGCTCTCTGTTCTTACAGGGTTTTTGTTGGTTTTTTTAGCAGAGATTCAGACTGAACTGCACCACCCAAACCACACACTATTTTTGATCGCACTTACTTGAAATTAATGGGACTCCCAATAAAATGCTTGCTAAGTTGGTTTCTTTCGGGTTTTCCTCTCCTTGTTGCTGTTTTTAGCAGAGATTCAGACTGAACTGCACCACCCAAACCACACACTATTTTTGATCTCACTTACTTGAAATTAATGGGACTCCCAATAAAATGCTTGCTAAGTTGGTTTCTTTCGGGTTTTCCTCTCCATTTTATTCTGTCATAAAGTATTTGGGAAATGCAATATGAAGAAGGAGAGACCCTGCAGTTGGGAGATCTCATACTTGGTTGAGGCTCAGGCAATGGACTAAACAACTCAGATACAGGAGCTAGAAGACAAGCAAAAATAGTATTGAATTAGCAACAGTGTACCTTATAACGTATGGCCCATTGTCAAACATAGGCTTTCAATGGCAAGAACTCCTTGACTCCTGCAGGAAAAATATAGGTGTTATCTCTTCCTTCTGACTTTCCATATTATTGGCATAAATCTTCAGATTCAGTTAAACCTGTGCCCTATATCATTAAGTCATTTTCAGCCATCTGAGCACTCTGTATCAATAGCAAAAGCAACACTGAATTAGTGCTTTAAAAAGTATACCCTTCCAGAGATCAACAGTTCCACCATTTAGAGTGAAAGTATTTCCCCCCCCCTTATCTTCCTTAAAACAAATTTGATAAATGAAAGCATTTCCCCCTTATCTTCCTTAAAACAAATTTGATTTTAGAGATCCCAAATAAGACACTGAAGATATACAATAGGTTACAGGAAGAAAATTATTTTTATTCACCATATTCATCAAGAAATGTATTAATAACAGGCACATAGGGTTTGTAGTTTGAACTCTCTACAAAACAGAAACAGCTCAGCTTGAGGCTATTGAGAAACAGTCACTGCAATCTGGAAATTAATCATAGAAATTAGTCACTACAACAGAAGTTAGAAAGAGGAACATGGTCAGAAGTTAACCCAAAGCACAAAATATACCACATTAAAAAAAATGTTGTAACTTAGAAAAGTCCCAAATTGTAATAGGTCATGCATAAGTGAAACAATGGCTGTGACTGACACATGTTCTGACCATGGTATAAAAATCTGTTTGTTCTTATAAGTCTTTGCCCAGATTGGATTTGAGGAGTACTTTGCCATTTGTGATCACAATTTAAATACACTTCCGCCTTTGGAGAACAGACCTCTCCGAGGTTTATGATGTTTATTATTCTAAACTTGATTAAACGTTTTCCTGATACTACTATGAGTACTACTGAATACCCAGTCTTGTACAGTGGACGGAGTTATAGACTAAAAGTCAGGAGACCCAGGTTCAAATCCCCACTTGGTCATCGAAATTCACTAGTGAAGAGTGGCAATTGTGAAATCACTCCTTAAATATCTCAGAGACGTCAAAGCCCTACTACCCCGTTTCCCTGAAAATAAGCCCTAGTATGATTTTTCAGGATGCTCGTAATATAAGCCCTATCCTAAAATATAAGCCTCAGTTAAGTGAAACCCCTCCTAACACCATTGTGCAGCAACTAGAAGAAGATATAAGCCTCAGTTAAGTGGAACCCCTCCTTACACCATTGTGCAGCACCTAGAAGAAGATGACATGAATGTATTTGACAAAAATGTAGATTGCTGTACATGGAAAAAATAAAGCATCCCCTGAAAATAAGCCCTGATGCATTTTTGGAGCAAAAATAAATATAAGACCCTGTCTTATTTTCAGGAAAACACAGTAGGGTTTATCTCAGTCATTTCTGGCTTACTGCAGATAACATCTACCTGAGTAGTACTGGCTATGGAGACTTCTCCTTAAGCATTATCAAATTCAATTTAAATTTGCAGGCTGTGTTTCTACAAAACAAAAGACAAGGTTTATCCTTATACTGTACATTTATTTATATTAGCAGCATACTTTAATCTTCACATTTTTAAAACTAAGTGCTAAGACACAGGGGCACAGCACACATAATAAAACCACTCAGTCTTAAGTTTCATAGTGGAAAATAGCAAACATTTTAAGAAAAGATAAAAATTACCAAAGGCAACCACTCTTCTGAACAATGAACAGGTCACACTTCACTCTGTCCCCTACTGGTTCTCATCAGCAAAACACCTTAAATAAGAAAATGGAAAATAAATCACAGCTGTGAAGGTACTACTATTTCTTCCTATCTATTGAGGGAAGCAGACTTTTAAGCAGTAATATGTACTCACTTGTTAACACCACTTAAATTCCACAGCCAGGTTACAGATTAGAATGATCTCAAAACAGAGCGCTTGAGTTCTACAGATGGTTCTGATCCTGAACACACTACCTAAAGCTATTGCTGAAACTCCTAAGGACTTAAGCTTACAGTACTTCTACTTCTAATGCTTATTTGGAGCATTAGAAAACATATGAGGCCTTCCCTCAATGCAAACCTGTAGTCAGTTGATAAACTAATACAGTATATGTGTCTACTCAAGACTGAGCCCCGCAGAATTTGGTGAAGCTTCCGCCCAAGTGCTTGCGAATGACTGTGGCCAAAAGATTCTTTGAATCCTATGTAGTCATCGCATGACAAACAAAAAGCCATAGGAAGTTAGTTGCTGCCACCTGGGCACATAGGACTGATTGTAGGCACACTGCAATGTTAGTGCAGTTTGCAAGCGACAGGGAGAAAGGGCCTCTTTCAATTGGACTCTCAGTAAAATCGATAACATGTCAATGTAAGGCTGTCATTGGCTGCTTGTTGTAACCACTATGCATTCTCCCTCAGTAGCAGAGAGGCAGAATGCCTCTTGTCAGTTGCTTGTGGGTTTCCCACAGGCATCTGGTTGACCACTGAGGGAGCTGGAGAGCCCTTCGGCCTGATCCAATGCAGTTCTTATAGTCTTGTATATCTCAGATGTCTATTGTGTATTTTGCACTAGAAGACACTGTAATGCTTGAAAGGAGAGCCACATACACAAACTGCTCTGTAGACAAACCGTATTCCATTCAAGCTGATATTAAACACATTGTCCTACACACAGGCGAGGCAGGCTCAATATGTCAGTTGGAACCTCTAAATAAATGCGCCTAAGATGGAAGGCAAAACTGAATTATTTTTCCCTTTCAGATGATAATTAATAACTCCAATTCCCTATTTGCAAAAATAGAGCAAACATAAGAAAATAAGTTCCTGTTAGGCTAACTTTAATTATAAAGCACACCACAGAGTTATAGGAGGTGTTGAAACAACAATGCATACAGTACTTTGACAAAATCAAGCTATATTTTCTCTCGGCCAGATTCTTTTCTAGCCATTGTCTTTTGTTTTTCTCAGTTTACAAAATACTTTTTATTTCTTATTTATAATCTGTTCCCCCCTCCCCACTTTCTTTTTTTTTCTATGTAGTTCTAGTTTTGGTTGCTTTCTGTTACGTTCTGGTTTAATGCTTTTAATATTTTAATTATTTTTCCCTTCCAGACACAAAAGTCTCATGGGATAAAAGACAGGTGATAAGTACAAGATCTCAGATGTGTAGTGCTGGGACCACTGAATAGAACTTTCCAGGCAGGGGTGTGGATCTGATTCATGTTTTTCTGAATGATGAACGTGGGCAGCCATTAGTTGTGATTGAATAATGACCTCTGGTGGTGGTGAAGTATATGCTCAACTTGAAAGGAACAGCAGTTGGTTTAGAAAAAAAAACAAGACTGGACATGAAGCAGTGTTAGGCTGGCTTGCAATTTCCCCTACATGGTGACTCAGCTTTTTGACACACCTGAACATCATGGCTGCTCAATAGGACTTTTGTTCTGCTCAGGCCTGTAAATTTTATACTCTGACAGAAACACATAGAGCAAAGGGTTGATTGATCATCTCTGTAACAGGAGAAAAATCCTGCATAACCCCTGACACCACTGTATTAGGAACAGCAAGAACAAAAAGGAAATTCAAAAAGGAAATTAAAATACTTTTTTACTTCTTAATTATGCTGTGTAGACCATGCTGTTTCCCATTCTGGAGGGAGAAAGCTGGGATACAAATCAAACAAATAAATGAATAAGATTGTTAGTCCCAACTACAATGAATGGGACTTGATTAGCCAACACATAATGCCCATTGATCTGATAAGTGTACTGTTCTTGGGATGAACAATTATATTTAGCCCAGTTTTCCATATTTGAAGCCAGTTTGAGGCTCAAAGAGCAAAATGGCATTCAAAAGTAACTTAATAACCCAAAACATATATGTATTTACATTTTGTTCTCCAGTGGATTCATACACTGCTGCGACTATAACAAAGCATAGTTTAAATCATGTATTGCAGGAAAAAAACATGACTTTATTTCAAGCAGTTATTGGAGGGGGAAGTTCCCTCTTTCTTTTGTTAAACTGCTCTCTGTACTCCTATAAATAAATAATCGGCTCGTGAAGGGCATTTTATAGATTGGTGTATGCAAGTTATTTATAGAGCTGCCCCTTTCTAAGAGTCTCTTGTACTGTACCTTTAACAGCTGCTTAGAAGATGGAATCTCAGAAGGTTGTGTCCCCATCGCTACCTTTTTATGTTATTCATCACCAAACAATTAAGGGAGCTGCTTTAAACAAGAATGCCATGGTATTCCCTTGTTATCAGACTGTCAGATATTGTCAAACACATCCCCATTCTCTAAGACTGTGCAGTGCTTTGTTTCCAATCAAATCTTGAATGTAATATATGTAAGATATAGTGTTATATATACCTTATTGATAGATCTATCTATCTATATCTATATATCTATATATATCTCAAATCAAACAGATATATATATAGATATATGTGTCTGTGTGTGTGTAATATTAATAGACAGATAGATCTATCTATCTATAAGGTATAGATAGATAGATCTATCTATTAATATTAATATAATATCTATAATATATCTCTTAAAATGCACCTTGCAACACACTCTGAGCTTGTTTACTAATACCCAAGTAAAACAAATTTCAAACAGGGCCCCTAAGTGTTTTTAGTACATTAGACTTTCTTTACCTAGAGAACACTGGCGGGCCCTGTTCTGATATGTTGTTATGTGCCATCTTGTTGCTTCTGACTTATGGTGACTACAGTAGATGTTTTGAAGCATGACTGATGTTCAGGGAGTGATTTATTGTCACTGCCCCCCAGGGGGGTTTCATGACTGACTGAGGATCTGATCCATTCAGATTCCTGAATCCTAGTCCCACACTCTACCCACTACACCACGCTAGAGTTTTCTCACCCTAAAATATGGTGAAACCAATCTCTGCAAAAACAGCAGTAAGCAATGTCAGTGGGTCAACAGGTCCACTGTGTCATTAGACACCATCATGGGCTACCATGTCCATCACAAATCATGTCTTATAACCCTGGGGAAAGGAAGAACTTGGTTAATTTTTACCTTGGTTAATTTTTACTGAAGAAAGCAACAGCCTGAGAATACATCTACGTGCTATGATGGCAGAGCACAAGCAGTGAGGGCAAAGGAGTCATCCTGGGCATGCTTGGAGCCCATTCACAGACATTTCATATAAATTGCCACAAAGTTGCACCGTCCACTAATACTGCCTACTTGTCTGTTTCTATATTTTGCCTGTGAGAGGGTTTGAACCAACAACCTCCTGAATATGTCTGTGGCAGTTGAAAAGAGTCGAGGCATCATGCTGGTTTGGTGTGCTTGCACCTGTTACCTAGTTCTATGCATCTTTTGTACTCTGGCATTATGCCAATGTGATGGAGGTGCTTCCTCCCTGCCTGCACTAGGATTCCAGATTCATGGGCTGGGACTTCTTTCCCTGACCTTCTGGTGTCCACCCAGGTCATGAATATTAATGTGCTATCTGCATGGACCAATGAGAGTGCTGGAGAGGCAGAGTCACAAGATATAAGAGTCTCTTCAGCAGGAGGAAGAGTTCAGATTGATAGTTTAGTGTGGGAGATTGGAGTTTTAGGGTTTGAGAGTGGGAGAGTTTTGGCGTTTGGGGTGGATAGAGGAAGGGTTGGCGGTTGAGGGTGGATGAAGTGGGATGTTTTGTTAAGAGTTAAAGACATTGATTGTACCTTAATCACCTGTAACAATTAACAACTTCTGTTTGATTCTTTTTAAAATGACACACGGCCTGGACCTCTGTGATTAATAATAAACAGTGTTGATGTAATCAGCTGGTGTCAGTAACACGACACATAGCTTGTATCCTTTGACTGGTGGAATAACCAAGGGACAGGCGGGAACATGGCAATTTTGTTTTGTTTGTTTTGTTTTTTGGGGTGGCATATTCTCTCTGTCTTCCCAGGCTGACATGCACTAGGTTGGGAGACTGGCACAGTAGTGGCATATGTCTTATCCTGGCATAAGAACATGAGTATCAATAGTAGTGGCTTGCTAGAGCTCATTGTGTCTCTGCATCCAATAGTAGTGGAGCCAGGGGCAAAGGTAGGCATGCATAAGCACAAAACAACTGGCCTGGCCATTAACTAAACCCGAAGAGACTGCCTCAGGTAGCAGAACACAGGGGTA